TCTAAGATTTCTACAATTTCCCATTTTATAATTTATAAAAATTTTTTCAAATCTAAAAAAAATTTTAAATATTAAAGTTTTAAGAGGTATTTGTTCAAAAATCTTTATAAATTTAAAGTACATATGACAAATTTTTCAATGTCTTTTATGACAAACCCTTTTATGTGACAAATCTTTATAAAAGATCTTTTCGATATGGTATAATGATTAAAGAATTTGTCACATTATATATAATATTTAAATTTATGGAGATTAATTCTGAACAAAATAATTATATTCATTTTTATCAAAGTTATAAGCAATCGAATTAACGGTATGCTATATCCAAGTGTAGTATTGTTTCCATAGTATGGCATTTAAGAATTAAAATATTATAAGATATATGAAAATTGATAAATATATGAAAATTTTTTCACCAGAATGTCACTGAAATTTCTTTACCCGAGATCAATAGTCCTTTTGTATTTAAAATTCTTCACAATGCCGGAAGCTACCCATATCTTGAAGTAGGATTTTCCAATTGAGATCATTTCACATCCAATTTGATTTCTTACTTTGTAGTCGTCTTCACCTTGGAATATGGTATACTTCTCTTTATCTTTCATACATGCCAATTCAAACATTTTCTCGACTGTTGGTGCAATGACGAGGCGGTCCGGGCATTTTGCAGTTTTTATTTGTATAAAAATATCGTCATTGACTATCTATAAATTTTCAAAATAACTGATATTTATACATACACAGTAAGTGTTAAATCAAAAGGTACAAATTCGACAATCCACTTAACGTAATTCAAAAATTAATAAATTATCAATTAATCAAATATTCACAAAATTAAATAATATTAATACCTTAAATGCGATATCTGCAGTAGAACCTTCCAAAGAAACAATTTTATATTCAGTATTTGTTAGTAGAGAGTTCAGATCATCGAATGGCGCTATAATGTTAATTCTTTTTGTTATATACACGTATAACAAAGCTCCAAATGACATGTACAGTATAGAACAAAAGAGCGCCAGTGATAATTCTATTATCCTTGATCTTCCAACAAGAATATTAGGAATTTGATCTATTGTTAATTATTATTTTAATTACAAATCTTTCGTAGTTATATATGATAATTAAATATCATTTTATTTCGATGAGGATTTTTCAATTTTATCAAGCACATTATTTTTATATAGTTTCGAAATAATATTAATTTTCTTTTTTATAATAATTATTATAGTGCATAATTATTATAGTGCATTTATAATTTAAAATCTTATGTCTAAATCACATGAACTAGTACAAATTGTTGTAAAAAATATACGTAAAAAAATGTCACGCTAATTAATATCACAGTATATGATATTGTATCCCAGCAAATACAGATATATAACTGTTGTATATGTAACTAACGTATGTTTTATATATATAACATACATGTTAGTTGTAATTTTCCATTCATAGATGTAACATTTCTAATATAACGTATGTTATATTGTAGTTGCATTGTAATTACGTTTAGATAGAAGAATATGATTTAATCGTATCGTAAAACACCAAAATTAATCAAATAGTCTTCCGATATCAATAAATAATTGTATGATCTGAGTATAAGTACTGAGTCTAATGTAACATATGTTATATTAATCTCATATCTATGAGTGGAAAATAACAACTAACATGTTAGTTACATATTATACGAGTTATATATTTGAATTTGCTGGGATGGTATTTATACTTATATATCTGTCTTTTAATTGAGCAATGTTTAAATATAAATATTAGATTAAAGAACAAGAAAAGAATAAAACATTCACACCAATCATTCATACTTTGATTGCAGATCATTCCAAAGTTGTAAAAAATATGGTCGCCGAACGTCGAGCGTTCACAATTATTTTTGATCCGTAAATGAACAGTTTGTGACAAAAAACTGCATACACTTATTAATAAATGCATAATCAATATAAAGCACCATATTTTCCAGGAAAACACTTCTGCCATCCATGTGCTGTCATGTATTACCTCATGTTGAATATACAATCGCTGGCTGTAAAATTATTATAAAATTATTATAGCAAAATAATCTGGAACTTGTAAAAATAAATTATTGTATATACACATATAATCATATGTCTTTTTTCAAAAGTTGCATTGTTAAAATTTTACTCAAAAAGAGTGACAATTTTCATTCTTCAAAAATGCTATATTCTTATTCTGTTAAAGTAAAATTTCACTCCAAGAAAGTTGAAGACTTCTTTCTTTATTCAATGCTTTAGAAAATATATTATCAGAACACTTAAAATAAAAGTATTTATAATTTATAGTGAAACAGAGCACTTAAACATACCTACTCATCCATAAAGGGATTGTAAAATCAGTAGCTACAAGTCGATTATCATGCATTTCGGTTTTGGGTATTGCGATAGTTTCATTGCGCGTAAGTATACCTAATAATCCTGTTGTATAAACGGTTTGGTTTTTTCTCAGTGCACCTGCACTAATTTCGTTTGATCTTACTGCCTGTAATCTAATATGCAGTATCTTTTAATTATAATTGTTTACCGTTAGTTTCGTTAGCAATTAATCTCATACAATAGATTGCAATTTGATTAAATTACAGTTCAATCTTACGTAAAATTCAAATTTTCAGAAAGAAGAGTCCATAAATCGCCGCAGAGTCCTGTAACTTTCGTATCGTTATCGTAAAATTCAAAAAAATGTGATTCCTAAAACATATACATATAGAGAAATTATCCAGTTTTTGCTGTCAATTGATATTTCTTAGTTTTCAATTATTTAATAAATTATATAATATTGTTTTAAATTGTAAGAATAGTAAATAATTTTGTTATTTATAATTTTTTCTTAAAATATAGAAATTTTTATAAATACGTAGTACCACCTTAAAAATACCATATTTTTCTTATTTATTTTTTTACTATTTTTCTTATTATTTTACTACGATTTACTACTATTTAATATTATTAATTACTTAATTTTATTTTTTTTTAAATTTCTGTTAAATTAAAACTACATAAAAATATTGGAAAGTTTAAATATTTTCAATGGATAATTTCAAATATATAAACTTTTCATAATATAAAGATTTTCAGAAAGGAATTATTTAATTAATAATTATCGAATACAAATTAATTTTAATTTTTTAAGAGATATCATGGATATCATGGAGAATATACAAGAATATACTTAGTCATTTACATTTTATGAAAGTAATTACCTGGAAAGATGTTACAGTCAAATTCTGTAATTGAAAATTGTGGATTTCCAATTCTCGACTTTGTCTAAGACGTTCTTGTTGTATCATGGCAAACATCGGAACGCTGGAAATTGGAACAAAAGTTTTTTGTGTCTTGCTCCAGATTACGCCGTTCATCGCTTCAGACGATAGCAATGCTCAATAACCGGGAATAATTCTCGTCTGATAAAAACACTTCGTAACGTGCTTTGTTGACTTATAATGATGATATGTAATTTTGTTGCGCAGTATAATTATGGAAATTGTGATTATCATATTCTCGATCATATTTGTATACAATAATGAAAAATATAACTGAATGATAGATAAATGAGATTAGCAGTGCCCTTGGAGAAAATAGAAATCGGAGCATAAGTCGAATGTAAGAGGAAAATAACAGAAGCGTCTGTTATTCTCCTCTTATATTTCCAATTTTTATTTTGAGCAGGGGTTTCATGTGTTACTTTAGATAACATCTCTTTCTAAAATTCTTTTTTACGCGAGTCAATTTAATTACCTATAACTTTTTTATTATAGCTAAGTGAAAACGAATATTAATATTGCATTAATTAATCCATCAATTATTCATAATTTATGCTTTGACTAAAGCTTTTTATTTAACAACGAAGGTAAATAATTCTTTTATAAATTTACAAGCAGACTTATGTATACAGTAAATATGCAATGTATTAAATATATCTTTGTAATAATTTTAACGTAGAGATTTCTTGCGATATATTTATACTTACGTTATTTATTCATGACTAAATCGATTTTAGTCGCTATCAAGATTTACAGAATAAATATACCTTTTTCCAACTAAATTGCTCGGTGTCTTAATGGCATGTCAATTTGTTATCATACAAAACTAACGCGAAAACTGATATGATCGAGGTCATCAATGTACGTCATCAATTCACTATGAATAAAGCATGTAAATTAATAATTGTAGTTACATGTTACGGATATTTTAACATCTATGGCAGATTGTAAATAAAAAGATTTATAGCTAACATGTATTGTTACTTAACATTTAAATCAGATGAAATAAATTAGATCATTATTGTATAGCCATAACATGAAGCTTTTCGGAATGGAAAAAATTCATATTATTATAACTTTAAAGAACGCATGCAATATACATGTAGAAATTAAATGTTGATTATATTATTACGAAATGTGATTTACGGATTATAAATAATGCATTCTAGTCTATGTAATGTTTAAATATAAATGTTCAAATTGATAAAAACATTGAATAAGTTATAAATAACAGCAAAAAAGATCATTATTAAAAATTTATTAATTGATTTTTATGAGTTAATTAAAATGATTTATCATGTAAATTTCTAAATGTAATGACAATTTTTTTGCAAATTATATAGGAAATCTTGAGTATCGTGGATACTTCTATTAATATATTTAGAAATTCATGGTTACTCCTATTAATATACTTTTTATAATGAAAAGGGGAATGAGATCAAGCGTAATGTACGAAAAACATGAATTGTATATTTATATTTGACTGAATATATAAAGGTCTTAAATGTGTATAATCCTTCGTTGAAGTTTACATAAATTTAACTTAAACCTAAAGTTTCTGACAAACCTTCGATACGGTCGGGATTACAGTCGATATAAATTTCGATTTGGAGATTTGTCAATTCTAAAAGTCTTATTTAATTCAATAGCACTTTCGCGCACTCTCCAATCATTATCCGATTAATGGACGTGGGAGTAAAAACCACCGGATGACGTCTTAAGTCCAGTCTTTCTTCTTTTTTCTCCATCAAACGGAACATGCTCTTCATGTTTCTTTTTTCATTAATACAAAATTATAAAAAGTATAATACAATCTGCTCCTTTAATTCTACGTTTCCATTCTCTAATCGTTCTGTGCTAATATTCTACCTCGGTTTAAAGTGGGCATTAATTTCGCAAAGTTCATCATCTAATGTTGCTCGATCCGATATCAAGCAGTAATATTTTTAGCGCCTGTTTTATATATATATATATATATATGTATGTATATATATATATAATAACATATAATTTATACACGAACGCTGATAAAATTTTCCATCCAACATCGCTGAGTGTTTGCGGGTATTAAATCTCAGTCGTTTACGTCTTTGAGGTCAAGAAATACTAAAGAAAAAATAATATCTATAAAATTTAGTGTAAATTCTCTTATTAGCAATGATAGTAATTATGTTGATAGCAAATATCTGTGAATATATTGACAATGCATGAATATATTGACACAGGAATGTCATAAACAATATAGCAAATTAATTAATTCATCATTATTTTTCATTATATTATGGTTTTTCACATTTAGACACATAGAACATAATATAAATTCATATAGCACAATTGCAGCAATAAATTATGTTTTCAGCTAAAAGAGCGACCTCAAAGATTACAGATAAAAGATACATGTGATTATCATAAAAATGTACAAATTGAATACTTTTTTTTATTAACAATCAATATTCGCTATCCGGGTTTTGGCATATGATGATTATAAAAATTGCTTTTTAGAAAACGTCTCAATATATATTCACAAAATACACACATGCACACACGCACACATTCATTTCTCTATCGCTCTTTATTTTCTCATTTTCGCTTATTACAATATATATCCGATTACCCGCATATACGAATCTTTTTGAACAGTTCTGTAAAGATTATTTAAAAACGTGATTCATAGAGGAGTATGCCTTATATAGAGCATAACAATATATTCCATACATACAATATTATACTCTTTGGACAGAGCATGCACATGATTAAACACTCGTTTTAATATAAGCTATCAACATTTGTTGATATTGTGTTTTGTAAGAAAGAATTTATTTTTTTTCTTTGTGAAATAGAATTATCTTTCGCCCGTCTTATATATCTTACAAATAAACATATAAATTATAGATATATTTACTAATATAATGCTTCAATGGATATCTATTTTTTCGTAAAAATAAAAGTACGTATTAAAAATTTCGTTTTATTGTGTTGCATTATTATAATCACAAATGGAATCATAGAGCATAACGTTCACTTCTATATCCCACGTATGTATGTATTAAATTAGACTGTATTAAATTAAGTGTAAAACATTACAGATATATATATATATATATATGTATATATACCATCCAAAATAAATGGTAATATTATATATTATAAAATACGTATATATTTATAACAATAAATAAATGCATATATATGGCAGTGATTAAGTATTGTAGTTACTTTTTGTGTCTATCTTGTTTGTTCGATACCACATCCAAAAAAATAATAGATTGTAAGAAGAAACACACTATATACGTTATCTGAACTAATAATAAGAGGCAATATAAAATAGGTGAATATTTGTAAAAATAAATAAATGTATATGGCAATGATTAGTAGTAGCAGCTCTTTATATCTACCCTATTCGTTTATAATATTATCGAAAAAAAAGTATCCGATAGTATCGCAAGAATAAACATACGTTTTCATTGACGCTGACAAATATCACGACAAATATACGAACAACGTACGCATTCGTGTGATAACTTTTTTTTCCTCTTTTAAAACTGACAGTGCTTGTTTCGATGACAATCTACACAGTTACTGAATTCCAAATTCTTGAAGTTGTGAACGAACATAGTAAGGAGCTAATGTTTCTGTTGAAAATCAGAAGCTGCATTTTGTTTGATCAAAGATGAATCATTCGTGGTCGCGAATGAAGTCATTCATTTTGACACCCTTGTTTCAGTCGTAACTTTACTGGGATCTGGTAACCTGACAACTAATTGCGCACCGTTTTGCATCGGTCTTGAGCCATTAGGCACGTTTGGCTTGGGAATACCCGACTGAGGTACTACCGCAGGTAAAACTTTCTTTGCACCACTCAATTTGGGCGAGCAACACTGTTTGTCGTCGTAGACATCGTTCAGATTGACATTCGTAGTGGGATTCTGATAATTAGATGTTTTTATTGGCGTGCCATGCTCCGTGCTAAAACCGCAATTTGGTCTCTGCTCAACGCAATTAGAATTCGGAAAATTTGTTGGTGGTAGCATTTTTATCACGTTATTGTGATCGTTAAGATTACACATGTTTACTGGTTCCGTGCCTGTTTTTTGATCACTCTTATATATCGGCGCTGACAGTTGTGTCGAATTAGTCTTGTTCGTACTCTTGTGACTGCTGCCGGAATAACTGGTGATAGATTCGTTGCAGAAATCGCTCAAATAGGTTTGATTTATGTACCAATTATGCAGTCGGTGATGTATTTCCGGGAATTGTGGCCTACGATTCGCTACTTCGTGCCAGCATTCGATCATCAAACTGTAAATCATCGTCGGACAGTCTTCAGGACACGGTAATAGTTGCCGCGAGCGAATCATATCTATAACTTCCTGATTATTGTATCCGTAATATGGCTAAAAAAATGCATAAATTATAAGAAAATATTATAAAATTCATTATTATTACTTTTAATTTGGTAACTTTAATTTTACCTGCAAACCATAACTGTAGATTTCCCAGAGTACAACTCCGAAACTCCATACATCCGACTCGGTAGTAAATTTACCATAAAGAATCGACTCGGGTGGCATCCATCGAACAGGAAGTAAACTCTTGGATTGTACTCTGTAGTAGTCGCTGCTATATATATCTCGCGATAGACCGAAGTCTGAGATTTTTACTGTTAGATTATCGCCTACTAGGCAATTTCTTGCTGCCAAATCACGATGGACGTAATGATGACTAGCTAAATATTCCATGCCTAAGGAGAACGACAATTATTATATGTAAAACAAAATTATGTCAACCTAATCGTAAGAAAATAAATATCTACCAGAAGCAATTTGTAAAGCAATATGCAAAAACTCCGGTTGCTCCAGAATTTTTCCGCCACTATTATTTAATGGAACATCCGATCTCGGAGAATGACAGATTAGAAACTCATGCAAATCTCCTTGAGTCATGTACTCAAAGAGCATACACATTGGTTCTCCTTTCAGTATCACACCAAGCAAACAAATGATATTCGGATGCCGTAGATCTGTCATCAATTCGACTTCTCTTTTAAAATCGCTTTGAGTCTTGGGCGTAGCATTTTCCTTCAGTGTTTTTACTGCTACATAAATAGGTGGCTCACATTTATTTCCCGTTTGCAATTCGCCTTTATAAACTTTTCCTAAAAATATAGTCAATATTAATTTTTAAGTGAAATTATTTATTGAATTTACGTACAGCAAAAATAATTTTCGTATATTTACCAAAAGCGCCTTCACCAAGTTCTTGCAAGAGCACGATATTATTTGTAGTAAATTGCGGTATCCTATTATTAGATGTTCTACTACTGCCACTGCTTAAAGTGCCAGTGCCCGGCGTCGTATTACCAGGTCCTGCCAAAAGAGAACTCATTTCCATGGGTTGTGTTGTGCTCCTCCTTCCATCATATATGTTCTTATCACACTGGATACTAGTTAACATCTATTAAAAAGAAAATATTGTTAATAATGTTATCTGCTTGCAACTTATAATTGGAAAATATCAATACAATTTTCCACTTTTGCGTAGAAAATATATGTATATATACGAATATATGTACTTTATTGGATGGTAAATGATTCATTTGCCTTCTGGATTTCCTACTTCTGTAGCAGCAGCAATAACAAATTAATATAATAACAAATCCTCCTGTTAGTACAAAACCAACGACCGCATAAATCCATAAATTCTCAACTGAAAATAATAGAAATGTTTTTCATTAGTACACGTATAGTACACGTATAGTATAATATGTAAAATATATTTTACAAGTTCTTACCACATTTAGGTATACTGCAAAATTCTTTTTGCATTCTGTTATTGACATCAACATAACACCATGGCTGAATTTCTTTACCGCCAGGATTCCGGCAATAAGAATGACGTCCAGCTAATTCGGGATAATCAGAAATCGGAAGATTAAAGTGATGAGACCACCGCAAACACATTCTTCCACTGACGCTCGTTTTCACAATTCCTCGATAGGATTTTCCACTACCCCAATAGCAATAATCATCTGCAAGAAACATGTTAAAATTGTATATGCAATCTTTAAGATTTCTATCTACTAAACATTTTATATTTATTTATCTTATGATATATAGCTAAAATCATTAATTCATTAAAAAAATCAAAAAATAATATAATTTCTATTTTTAGCATGTACGGTATTTTTCAATCTTAATATATATATAGTATTTGATTTGATAAGCACGCCAGTAAATTAAATTTCATTTCTTCTTTTATTAACTGAGCAAATTTTATAAGATCATCGTATATATTTATATATTTTTTTGGAAATAAGAATTTGTGTTGATTTGTGTTTCTTCATGTTTGTGTTTCTTTATGAGTCTATTGGATATAACTTGGATGTGCAAAAGATAGAATTAAAAGCTAAAATCAATTTAATTAATAAAATATAAAAAATACATACTTTCTTGCACGTTGTTTACCACAGATAACCCAAGTGTTAAGCAATCACGAGCCTCAGTTGTCCCTTCCAGTGGTAAGTCAGAACATTCAACCAAAGGCACTTGATGCCCAATCAACGGATGCCTCTTTGCTATCGCATATTCCTTTCTGCACAATTCATTCTCCAGCATTTCGCACTCCTCCCGGCATATCCTTCGTAATTTACGATTGATCTCATTTCTACTGGATGCTCGTGCGTCGCCGTAACTCTGATTAATTATTTTCTTGTTGCTTGACTTCCCATCTTCATTGGGCATAAAATTGAAAACTGGGCCCAAAGTAGGACTACGTTTGGGAACACTATGCAGTCTCGAAAAATCATCTGTATCATCGCGATCTCCGTCGTCTAAAAAATCATCTTGCTTGGAATTCAGGAGATTGAAGAGTTGCGTGCTCGCTTCTGCGTTCTTCGGTTTTTTAATATTAAATGGGTCGCGGCAAATCGGAAAGGCGGAATAGCAAAGGGATGGCTTCGCATATCCTTCGCAATTTGACGAGAGCTCACTGTGTGATAAAATAGTTGAAAACATTTTAGTCTCTTTCATCTCAATTAAATACCGTTATTAATATTATTTTGTATATTATACATAAATTTTATTTCAATATTTTCTGAAGCTTCAAAAAAACATACTTTGAGAAATTGATAACTTGAAAGGCCTTCATTAATTTCTCCTCGAGCATTTTCTGTGTCATGGGATATATAATATAAACCGATTGATTTCCTACAAACTGTGCACAGGTTTTTCCTATATATACCTGTAAGAATTCAACAATCTTGTAACTTCATTTTATATATCAATTTTAAATTCAAATCTATTTTTGTATTCAAGCACAAACCTCACAAGTTCCTTTATGATTGTCCTTTCTGCCTGAAACTGAACTTATGCTTGACATCTCATCAAAATTCATATTAGGAGGGAATTGTATATTGCCATTAGTAAGGCCGCTGAGTGTATTGAAATCCATAGTGCTGGATTGTGAGCTGGTTGGCTGTGGACTCGGTGAAAGTATGTTAAATGGATTCGCGGATGCCAAGTGAGAGATGTGAGGTGTAGACATTCCAGTTCCTGAGATGTCCAACATATCTCCATGTCCCATGCTGTCACAATAAAAAGATAACAGAGTTTATACGTATTCTTATCTTTATTGTGTATTCATTACAATAATACATTAGTAAAGATTTTTTTTCTCACAGAATTTTCGTAATTTAGATTTCGAATTGTGAATTTATTTAAAGTAAGTAGCTAAAGCAAAACTACGTTGACAAATGGAAAAACAACGGTCATCCGGGATATTTTTATGTGATGATTCGGACTGGAACAGACACGTTATTATTTCAAAACATAACCTCAATAAAGTCACAAAAAAGTTGGATTTCTAGCTATCGTTCATCACATTTCGAAGTGAATGGGTGAAGCAAGATCAGTCATTATCAATCGTTGTCCGATTATTTATCAATCGACTTCATATGTGAAAGATTGTGGTATCTAGAAAAAATATTCGCGGCTCCACGTAACCTCGCGAGACATAAAGCTGCGCGGAGTATTACCTTGGTTCCATCGTATTTTCGGCGTTATTTTTGGCTCGTACAAAAATACATGTATTCTGCAACAATGCTAGGTACAAGAGTAGCTTCATAATTCGTAGATCAATTATCAAAACATTTGGCTTAATGTTTAGGAGCTTGTGTCATTTGACACCACACCCGGTGTCAACCATTTGTAAACTGTAGTAAACTAACGGTAACGCTGCGAGCAGCCTGCCCTCTCGAAAACCGATAAACCGAATCCCTGTAGATGACGCTACGGGTAACAAATTTGAGGGCATTCGTTAAATCCCTTCGCGTTATAAGGAGTGAAAATTCGAATTTAGTTTGATCGCGCGCATCACAATGAAATTATCTTAAATCTTTTCCCCTCCGAGCTGATGGAGTCAAAAGAATAACAAAATTGAAATCAGTAAGTGAAATAGTAAATATTGGCAACAGACTTTGATATTAGAATTAGTGGTAAAACATACAATAGCAAAATCTTCAAAATCACTTTAAAATTTTACAATTGAAAATTTTACGATTTTTGTTAGCGTGACAGTTATTTTTCCTTCCATTTTACATACAAAATTTCATAATTGATTTTTTTTTTAAGAAAAGAATTTTACGAAAGAATTTTAGCTTTAGAAGCTCAAGAGATACTCTTTTCTTTTAACGCAATAATAAATTATAATTCATTATTGGATAAAAAGTAATGGAACTTATTGATGTTAACAATGTAAAAATATAAATTATTTCAAAAATAGCTTATGATTCGAAAGCGTTTGATATTTTATTAATTATAAGAACAAACAAGATATGTATTGTGTTTTAGGTAAAAATTAAGTCTGTAAATCTTAAGTTCTCACCCGTCCATGAAACCTGACATTCCCGTGGAAAATCTGTCGCCCGATGGCTGTCCTATAGGATGTTCTGGATGTATAGGAGCTGCAAAGAAAAAGTGACATCACATCATACAAATATCAATGTAAGTGCGAAAGCTAAAAAAGCTTGATGCCTATGATATATTTTATAAAGCTTAAATTATTTTTTTTATTGTAATTAATTTATCAAAACTTTTAAGGAAAATTTAAAAAGAATTTACAAATATTGGGAAAAAATTTACTAAATTTTAATATTATACATATTTTTTTTCTATAGCACTACTTTCACGTTTATTTACAGTAAATAAACATTATTTAATAAAAATAATAATTAAATCGAATTAATGATTCTTATAGTAAATAAATATATATCTATGTATTTACATTTAATAAATACAAAGTTAATATTATTCAAATGTTTATTAAAATTTAGTATATTTCAATGTACAACGTGTTCATTGATATCTGAAATTAACTTGTTGATACGCATGATACATACATTATATTTATACTTCTTTCATTTCGATATCGATAATATTGTTTAATTCTTAAGAACATACAAAAGATTTTGCAGAAAATTATCTAAAAATTTAGTTAGATACAGATTTGAAACTAATTTTGTTGTAGACTATTAAAATAATTATGCACAGACTGGTCGCTACAATGTCAATATTTTTTGCATTATTGCTCATCATACTTGAGTTTCCTACATAATTATTTTGATAGTCTAATATTATTTTCAGATCTGTATCTACTTAAATTTTTAGACATTTCAGTAAAATTGTTGTTACCAAGTATAAAAAAATTATTCGTATTTATTAATACTTCTTTTACATTTGTCGAATCGCAGATTATGTCTTATGCGTTATGTTGCGTTAATATT